TGGTTAGCTGAATTTGTCGGTCCCCTTATCCATCCCCCTCACAATTTCTGTATGTAAATCGAATTATGTTCGAACTCATAAATTTTTTGAGTCAGGGATCCAGATCATACATTGAAGAGTAAGCTTATCTAGTTTTCTTGTTTTAGGATGAACAGACCTCGCGGACCGAGAACACCTCCAATGCCACCGTGCGAGGAAGAAGTTCCACCTCCACCTATTGTTCCTCCTCCGTTGGCAGCTATCCCTCCTGCAGGTTATCCCCCTCAGGTGGCAGTCGTCCCGCCGTCACCGTATGGTGCCCCTCCTCCAATGTAAGTGATTCCTTCATCTACACCTTACAAATTTCCTAAATTGGCTTGCTTCAGTTTTGAAGGCTAAATCACTCATGTTCAGGATGTCTTTTCCGCCTTTCTATCCACCACCCATGTTTTACCCCGGATGTCCTCCAATGCCACCGTGCGAGGAAGAAGTTCCACCTCCACCTATTGTTCCTCCTCCGTTGGCAGCTATCCCACCTGCAGGTTATCCCCCTCAGGTGGCAGTCGTCCCGCCGTCACCGTATGGTGCCCCTCCTCCAATGTAAGTGATTCCTTCATCTACACCTTACAAATTTCCTAAATTGGACTTGCTTCAGTTTTAAAGGCTAAATCACTCATGTTCAGGATGTCTTTTCCGCCTTTCTATCCACCACCCATGTTTTTCCCCGGATGTCCTCCAATGCCACCAATGCCGATGATGCCACAGTGTTCATGTATGTTCCTCAACGTTAACTTGATTTGTTTTGCATTCCAATTTTAATTGTTCGCTAATATATATAGGCAGATGGAGCAGGTATGATATGATAGATATGAGTAATTTGCTTTTTTTTAGCAATGATCCAACCTACAATACCGCCAGCATCGGCGCAAGTGAAGCTAACAATTTCTGATTTTCCCGTCCAAAAACCACCCAAGAAAGAAGTTGTAAGTTTTTTTTTATATTGTATGGTTCAAAACTGCTAGCTTTCACCGCGGAAGTCCTCAACCTTTGTAGCCCATAAACGAAGAAAGGAGGCTTGAACTCGAAAGAAAGATCGAAGAGCAAATCCGAAAGGAACAGGAAAGACGAAGACAGCTCGAGCTGCAGAAGGTAATCGTCGGTGTCTCAAATTATCATTATGTTTTACCACTTTGTTTTTGCCTTCTTCGAAGTGTCCTATAAAAACGGAAGCTTTTTTAAGGAACGTGAAAAGGGCGCACAAGAGCAAGTTGCTAAGGCGCCGTTGAGGTGTACGCCTCCTCCACCTCCACCTCCCGATCTTACTTCATCGTCACAAGCGATTCCAATGGATCAATCTCCTGCTACGTCACCCACGTTTGTAATAAAGCCTGAAATTGCTGAAACGCCGAGCACCTCAGAACCGAAATCAAAGACGGAGTCGAGAATCGTTCAGCGAGAAACCTAGCNCGTAATAGCTATGCGGTGAAGGTAGTGCCACATCTCATCCTAGCAGTAACGGATGTGCTGCGGAGAAATCAATACAGAGGAATGGTGCATTACCCGAGCAGCAAGTGAAGGTAATTTGTTCGATAATATTTTTTAGTTTATGGATTGCTTGGTAATTGTTGCTAAATCATTTTTCTGATTTGAGGTTCCTCCAATGGGCTCTCTCGCTTCCGATCCGATTCTCGTGGATTTGTCAAATTCGCATTCTAAGCCGCAGAAAGCTAGCCCAAGAAAACGCTTAGAGGTTAATCCAACGCTTTTATTTGCCACTTTGAACTAAGTTGAGTTTAGTAATTATAGAGACCTCGAGATGTGCAGCCCAAGTTGGAAAAGGACCCGGTTCCCAACGGAGGCGGTGTTTCCCTTCCGGAAGATAAGAAACATAAACAAATAAAGCAGGAGGTACGTTTTCTCCATCATGGTAAAGTGCTTTCATTAGATGGTTCCACCCGTGTTTTCAATTTTCAACTAATAATCCCTCTTGTTATTTTTTTTGGATTAATGCTTCTCATGCTTTTTTCACGTTGACCAATTAGTACTATTTTTGATAATTTTTTTAATCGTAGAAGCTCATTGTTACTTGGAATTAATATTTGACGTGTCGAGATTTCTTGACGCTGCCTCTGAAATGTTATTAATTTTACGTTTCCAGTCATGCTCCCCTGTTCGAAGAGTGGAGGCGGACGTCGAGCGCCTTCCAGAAATTCAAGTGGAAACGAAAATTGAACTGTCAAAGAAATCCGACAATCATAACGAATGCCTGGTTTCCAAGGAAATAGTGTCATTGAAAGCAGAGTTGGTCGTGGAACCCCAAATAGCAACAACGCTCAAGAAATCTAGTGTTCCACCTGAGTGTTTGGAAGTGTCGATGAAAATGGAGAACGATTCGGAAATCAGTACACTGCCTTGCTCCAGTCATGTTATATCGATCGTTGATGTTGATCCACTTCACAATGCCACTGCTAAAAATGGTGTTGGGCTTACGCATGAAAACATTGTCGAAACAGCAACTCCATCTTCGGTTGTTGGTGATGGAGTTGATCAGAAAGTGCCGGAAGATTTGAAGGATAAAATCAAAAGCGCCGCTGCGGGAAAGGAGGTGCCTGCGCTTGTGAGTAACGGTCGGGAAGAAAGGGAGAAGACGAAGCGTGACGTATTAGTGACTCCAAAGGCGTTTTCTGTGAAGCGTGATGGATTCGATTTAATGCCACAGGTATTCTCAGAGAAAAGACAATCAACCCCGGAAAAGAAAACTTCAAAAATCGAAAGTCTCTGAGAAGGATCAAAGAAGGCTGAATGGAACACCCAATAAGGTTGCACAAACCAAGGTTAAGACCGAAATAAACGAAGCAGGATATGATGATGAACAAATTCCATCCGAGAAGAAGAAGGACCAAGAAAAGTCATCGCATTCTCACAGATCCGGCTCACTTTCTAAGGCTAGTCATCCACAATACTTTTTTCTAGCATGCATCAGCAATAGTCTACATATTTTTTTGCTACCTTAAAGTTTGCCTTTCTATCCTACCACCGCATGTTTTTTCCCGATGTCCTCCGAATGCCACGCAATGCCGATGAAATGCCACAGTGCTCATGTATGTCTCTAACTTAATGTTGATTGTTTTGCATCCAATTTTAATTGTTCGCTATATATATAGGCAGAGGAGCAAGATTGATATGATAATATGAGAATGCTGGCTTTTCTTTGTAGCATGATGCGCAACTACTAATACGCCAGCTCGGCGGGCAAGTGAGCTAAGCTATTTCTGATGTTTCCGGCGTCCAAAACCACCAAGAAAGAAGTTGTAAGTTTTTTTTTATATTGTCTGGTTCAAGGAAACTGCTAGCTTTCCCGCGAAGTCCTCACCTTTGTAGCCCATAAACGAAGAAAGGAGCTGAACTCGACAGAAAGATGGCGAAGAGCAAATCCGAAAGGACAGGAAAGACGACAGACAGTCTAGCTGGCAGAAGGTATGGCGCGGTTGTCCTGCACTTATGGATTATGTTTTACACTTGTTTTCGACTTCTTCGAAGTGTGCGCTATAAAAACGAAGCTTTTTAAAGAACGTGAAAAGGGCGCACAAGAGCATAGTTGCTCAGCGCCGTTGAGGTGTGCGCTCGCTCACTCCACGCTCGCCGAATGCTACTTGCATACGTCAGTGCAAAGCGATTCAATGGATCAATCTCCTGCTACGATCACCGCACTTTTGTAATAAAAGCTCCAATTGGCTGAAACGCCGAGCACCTCCCCAGACGACGCGAGGAGTCAGAATCTTCAGCGAGAAACGCTAGGCACGTATTAGTTTTATGGCGGTGAAAGGTAGTCGCCATCTCATGCCAGCAGTAACGATGTGGCTTGCGGAGAATCATACCAGAGGAATGGAGCATTACCCGAGGCAGGCAAGTGAATGGTAATTTTGTTCGATAAAATATTTATTAGTTTATGGATTGCTTGGTAACTTGTTGCTAATCATTTTTGATTTTAGGTTCCTCAATGGCTGATCTCGCTCGCGATCGCACTCTCTCCCGTGGATTTGTCAAATCGCATTCTAAGGCGGCAGTAAGCTAGCCGCCAGAAACGCTAGAGGTTAATGCCAACACTTTTATTTGCCGGTTTGAACTAAAGTTGACGTTTAGTAATTGTAGAGACGGCTCGAGATGTGTCATCCCCCCCCCCCGGCCAAAGTTGGAAAAGGACCGGTCCGCAACGAGGGGGCTTTCCTCCGGAAGATAAGAAACAGAAACAAATAAAGCAGGAGGTACGTTCTCCATCATGTAAAGTGCTTTTCATTAGATGGTTCGCACCGTGTTTTCATTTTTCACTAATATCCTTTTGTTATTTTTTTTTTGGATTATTGCTTCTCATGCTTTTTCCCGTTGACCAATTAGTACTATTTTGATCATTTTTTTAATCGGGCCAGAAGCCAATTGTTACCTTTTGGAATTAATATTTGACGTTCGAGATTTCTTGAGCGCTGGCCTCTGAAATGTATTATTTAACGTTTTGCAGTGCAGCTCCCCCTGTTCGATAGAGTGGAGGCGAGCGTCGAGCGCCTTCAGAACTTCAAGTGGAAAGAAAAATTGAATGTCAAAGAAATCCGACATATCATAACGAATGCTGGTTTCCAAGGAATAGTGTCGCATTGAAGGCAAGTTTGGTCGTGGAACCGGACGCAAATAAGCAAGACGCTCAGAAT